AGAGAGAGAGAGAGAGAGAGAGAGAGAAAGAGAGAGAGACAGTGAGAAACAAAATTATCCTTACACGCGACTATCGGCACAAAGCTAACAGAAACGACGCGTTTACCCAGCGGACGTGGAGCGGCTACGAGAGGCAGGATCGACCTGCAAATTAGCCGGACCTTTTTGAAAAGAGGCGAGCTTTTTCCCTCGGCGCGAGATCATCGAACAGAGAAAGCGTAGTCGGCCACACCGAACGAAATAAAGACGGAGCTCGAGAAGATGAAAGAGCGAGTGGCACGGGCGAGTCGTTGCCAAGGCAAATACGCATGCCGAGTGTTTCAAAACACGTTGGCTAATGTACCGAGGGCGTGTACGCGCACCACCAGATCAAGAAATAACCGCGATATGTGCGGACCCTCTGTCTTCGTATTCCCTCGTCATTAGGCTCTTCATCAAATGAGCTAATCTTCGGCCTTCCGGAGCGTAACGACTCGTTCGAAATCCAAAATACATATCGATCGTATTACACAAACATTCCCAAATACCCGCAAGATTCCTTTCTTTTCATATTCTCCTTTTCGCTCGCCTTCCGTGCCTCCCCCCCCCCTCCACCCTACATCGCGCGACTCGAGATATCTATTTTCGAGAGCGCTTATGCGCATTACCGTCATCCAATGGTACCAAAGCCGAATCATTACGCCGGGGAAAAAATAATATTGACTCTTAAATGTGGCGCTGCTCGTAACGACAAAATCAAATTGGCTCGGCGTTCGTGGATCTCTTGTGTACGCTAACATGAAATATCGGCGCAGCCGATACGTTATTTCCGGGACTATTTGTTCTGATAGGAGCGAGATTCAAGTTTGATTATTCGCCGCGATAAGAAGCGCACAGACGAGTGCGCAACGCCGCGTCACATCGCGCATAGTCAACTCGTTCATAAATACGGTAATAAAGAGGGGAAGGAGGAGCGAGAAGATCGAGATGATGAGCGAAGAATGATAATTCTCCTTATTATAAGCCTAGGCTGGCTCGTCGCGCTCTCTCGAGTCACATACTCGCAAATCTCCCGGTCGATTTTGTAAATATTGGCGCACAAAAGAGCAAGTCCTCGATAGCGTCGGGGCGCCTTGCGCCATAAAGTCGATTAGTACTAGACAACCGAGTGGGTATTTATTACGCGTCGATAAGTGCCCGAAATACATCATCGGCTTAATGCTCCGAGAGCTCTCCCCGCCTCTGCCATCTCTCTTTTTTTCACGAATCACTCGGTGCGCCACTCTTTCGCTATGAGAT